CTAGGTGACGACAAATTATATTGTTGGATGAAACGTGCTTACGTATGATGACGTAAGCACGTTAGTGCGAGCCCTCCCGGAAGCCATAGAGAATGCATTGCAGCGCCCCCGGTCGAAAAAAAAACATTTTTGAATGTAAGTCTATGGGGCCACTCGGGGCGATTCTCAGCCGGAGGGAAATCGCCCAAAAAGAGGCGGTACTCCACAGAACGTGACATGACGCTGATTGGACTATATCCAGAGGCACAGTGACTGCTAGCGTGACTCTGTGGTTGAATGACATTGGTGGTGCGTCGCCCAATCGCCCTAATGAAGAAACCGCCCCTCATCTGAACAGTACTGTATAGTCTTACTTTTAGAACTTTATTAAAGATTCCATTATACCTGATGATGATTGCTTGTGTTGCAATCGAAACGTCGTATGCTATTATTTAATTTAATTTATTATTTTATCTTTAGACGTGACTTAACCGAAAGAACCAAATAATCAGTACTGTATAGCTTTCCCGACGTGTTAGGCTGTACTACGTGTGATGTCCGACGTTTTGTTCCACGTTCTTTAAGAAGCTCCAAGCACGTGGGATACAAAATCTTCAATATATTGCGAGAACAAAAGACCGTACTGGGCCAATCTTCACAGTCATCTGAAATAAATCTTCAAATCCAGCAACAGTCAATGTTTCGAACTCATACTCTTCACAGAACTCTGAAATAAAATCTTACTGCGAAGTTTCTCACTGGTATTGAAATCTCCCAAATGTCAGAAAATTGTACAATACACCATTGCCTCGTTATTCACGAACTTGCTATCCGCGAATCGCATTTGGAACGATACACAACTGCATCGAGAGAAAGCGATGAGAGAGAATGTGATGTGTTATGAAAATGTTCATGTATTTCATTATTTACGTATTTATTTAAGGTATTTCATTTACAAAGACAGATTTCCATCGGCTAATATCATTATACGCGAAATTTGCTATTCACGAGCCTCTCTGGAACGTATCCCTCGCGAAATAACGAGGGAATATTGTGTCCTCAAGCATCGCCACTCGGGATACAAAGGCAGCCGGGCGTGGTGTGGCCACCTAATGTCTTCATCCAAAATCTCCGCTGCAGATTGCACCTCACGCGTGGTTGAAGCACCAGACCCAGATAGCCTTTCGCTAGGGTCCTGTCGCAGTTATTGGCCCATCCCCTGATACAAACCCTCAACAGTGCTCTCTCTGGCCGGGGCAGTTGCCACTCTCAGCGATGGAGACCTTCATCCCATCGATTCGTCAGCCGGTTAAACCAGGTGACCCGTGCTCCAGTCTTCCTGTTGATTGCAATATTTAGGCTTATTCATAGAGTCTGTTTTCCTATGCAACGCGTGTTATCAATACGCGGATTGGATATAATCCGATTAATGTATTGCAGAACACGTTATTATCACGCGGATGCAAATTGTCTATAACGCAACTGAGTGAACAGACCTACGTCACGCTAATAGAAATAAGCGGTTGTACGGCTGCCTCGGCGGAGCATCATCACGCAAGGCTGTGGGATGCTGCTGGATGCTTCTAGATGCTACCCACACACCTCAGTCTTTGTTCGGCCTGCATACGCATCTAACGATTTTATCGCGGACTGTGCCTTAGCCTATATTAAATATTATTAAAACGCGATTTTAGCCATAACGCGGTCTTCCTCGGGAACGCAACTACTACCGCGTTATAGGAGAAGAGACTGTATGCTGTTTCATTCGATGGGCAAAAAGCATTTGATAGCCGGATAAATATCATAAGTGCATCCCTTGGCCACTGTTAGAATGGTTACCGTTGTCGTCCCAGATTTTTATTTAGAAGGGATACCAGACAGGGTTGTCTCCTTTGCCAATGGCTCAATGCGTTATCAGTCGGGACTCTGCCGAGCAATTTACTCTCTGCTTTCGAACCGTTTTCCCTACTTTCAATGCACTATTCTCACTACGATGCTAGATTATTAATTCTATAAACAGAGAATGAAACAGTAAAACAACAGCAAATAAAGAGCAGAATCAGAATCTTAATTTATTCTGGATAAATAGGATGAACTACAAAACTGTTTTTCACACGTGTCCAGTCAGGGTGGCTCAGAAAGTTACAGTTACAATGAAGAACATATTTTATACAGAGAGAGCAAATTGCCCCAAAGCCACTAAGACATATTCATATGCTTGGTTCTTTCGGTAAAGTCACGTAGAAGGGAAATAATAAAATAATACAAATAAAACAATACAATTTTCTTGCTGTGGTTTTCACACCTGATGATGATTGCTTGTGTTACAGTCCAAACGTCGTGAGAATTTGTATTGTTTTATATTTTTATTATTTTATGATTTCCCTTCTACGTGACTTTACCGAAAGAACCAAGAATATGAATCCCTGCAGTCACCAAAGCTTTAAATCAAAATTTAACCACGAAGACATATTGAGGAAGAGACGCAGATGCGAGACTGAACAGTGAATACACGGCACTCTGTCAAACGTTTGGGGAAATAATAAGAAAATAAATCAAAGAACACGACACAAACATGATTGAAGGCGTCATAGCGAGCAATAGGGGTATGATATGAAGGCAGCAACAAAGGAGGTTGATGATTGGCAATTCACAAGAGGTAGCACTTATGGAGAGATATTGAACCATAACTCATGACAGAGATACAATCTTACAATTTGGTGGAGACATTTTATGCAGATCTCTAAATGAACAAAAAATACTTATGGAGCCCAGCGGTGTAGAGGAAGAGGTTCCAAATGTGACGCTCGAAAAAATAAACTCTGCCCTTCACATCATGAAAAGGGGGAACGTCGCTTGGACCAGATGATATAAACTGTGGCAATCAGTAAAGTAGCAGGACCAACTGCTGAAACAAAATGATGAGATCTCTTCACAAAATGTTTACAGAGAAATGAAATATCACAAATCACGGAACGATCTCTCAGTCATCGTTTTAACACGATACACACAACGCAGGGCCTGGCGTTGTTATTATAAAGCCCGTGCTCTTCTTTTCCTTTACTCACATGCCCCATGACTCATTTCACTAACATGTCATTGTGTGATAGTGTCATGGCAAAAAATGACTCGAATGTTGAAAAAAAAATCTCAAAATGACCACTCCAGAGTCCATCTTTCCTTTCTTTTTTTCAAATCCATCCTCTCAGTCCATTCCCTTCTTAGCTGTTATTGGCCCCATTTGCTCATCCCTTCCACTTTGCAAACTAATGTGACCTCAGTGACCAACACATTAGGAATGCTGGGAAGACAGGCAAGCAAAGTCTCTCTTTTTTAATTACCACACTAAATGGTGCCTGCATAAACAGCACACTATTATACGAGTGTGTTCATCATCTGTGGGTGTCTTGCCATTTCATTTTAATGATCCCATGAATACAGATTATTTGAATATACAGAACATTTCTACTCACCGTTTAAAAAATAAATTAGCACCCTGTTACACTGTATATCTTGCTGGAGTATTGACACAAATATTTAAATAATAGTTACCTTTGCTTTCCCCATTTTGGTGTCTTTCCTTACATTACAATTCACTGAAAAGCTGACATTTATTAGTTGAATTATGTTTAGTGCAGCAGCACTAAACATTAAAAATAACAATTAAGGTCAACTCAACCCAGCATTCCTCAACTGTCAGTAACGAAAAGTGCAACTTGACGGAAACTGAAGAGTCATTTCATCTGCGATTCTTTTGTAAATGAACATCTAAAATGGCTCTCCGATGCGTTTCCGGGTCCTTACCGCGTGTTGTCCAGCACGGTGTCCGACGTTTTGACTGAGCCCACCGTTAAAACCGCAGTCTTACACACTTTGTGTAAAAAGACAGCAGTGGTTGTTCTATATAATTAAAACAATCGCTGCCAACACTTATAAATGTGACTTTCCATGTGATAACAAAATATTTCACTACATTATTGTATTAGCCCTCCTGTTGCTCCACTAATACTACTTAAAGTGATACTTTATATGCTGCGATATACCTGGTGGCCCTAACGTTAGTTCGTTCGTTTCTCAATCCGCTTATCCTGGTGAGGGTAGCGGTGGCAGCATGTTGAGTAGGGCAGTCCACACCTCCCTTTCCCTAAGTTAGGTTAATGAGATAAGCAGACACGATTATTTTTTATTGATAAACGTTAGGGCTACTCTGCATTTCCAATGCCATTCCCTGTACAGTGGCATTGCAGCTAAATTGAAATGCATTTGATTTCACCTTTAGGAAAATTAGACCCATGATATCTGCTAAAGAGTGGCCAGTTAAATGTTGCTTTTGTGAACATCATCTAACAATATAATGGGGGCAAAATCATGATTGCTCATAGAAGATCATACCCAAAATTGAGCATGCTTTTGAGGTCGAGGCTTTACATGGCATCCTGGATTAACATAAATGTGTCCATCTCGAGTCGGTTAAGAGCATAGATGGGGGCGTTGATTATGTCCCTGTGTCTCTCTCGGTTTAACTTTGTTTCACCCCCCCCCAACCCTTGAGACAGGGGGATGGAAACCACGTACTCGGCTCACTCACTGAATATCCTTTTTGTTCAAAGAATTGTGAAGAGGTGCACGCTTGGAGGTAGAGAGAAAAAGAGGAACAAATAGGTCAAAGAACAAGAGAAAAAAAACATCACATTGACCGTTAAAAAAAAAGTACGCGGACGAAGGCAGGACAAGGATGATGCCCAGTGGCCGAGACCAACAGTGGAGTAGAGAGCCAAAGGAGGGAACGCTCCCAAAAAGAGATCCTCCAAGCAAACTCAGTGGTGACATCATCTCGCGCGCAGATTACAGATAGATTGTCGCATCCTATGATCCCCACGAGGGGACGCCTTCATCCAGCAGTGGATAGATCACGGCTGATGACGACGATGCCCCCCCCCTCTTGTATACTCGACATTGCCCCCCCCCCAATGGCTGTTAGTATCCCCCAGCCAAACACCGGTTGCCAAAACAATAGAGCCTCAGGTGTTGGTGTCGGAGGCGTCCTGGTGGCGTCGTGCTGCGTTCTCGGCCATCTCCAGCCGACCGAGCATCTCCTCCACGAGCTCGTGCAGACGGGCCCGGGACTCTGCCTCCCGAGCGCCCATCGCCTGCAGCTCCGCGTGCATCCGACTCTCGTCCCTGCACGCGACGCGGCACAAACACCGGCGTGGCAGCGTGATAGCAGCGAACGGGCACGTGGGGAGGGCAGCCGTGAGGTTTTTTTGTTTTTTTTTTATCCCGAGAGGGAGGGGGGGCGGCTTGTTGGAAAGCGGCTGAACGTTTTTTCAGACACCGAGAAGATGTTGGATCGACACCCAGATGACGTTCTGCGTTGATGATAAGTCACTTTGGTGAGCTATCATTTGTGGGCAGGTTTGCTTCTTAACAAACAAAAACGTTAATACTTCAACGGGCTTTGCCTGGTAGGGTGGGGATGGTTTCGTTTAATTTCTATGGTTTTGGTGCTTTGTTTTCCTTTCCTGTACTCTGCAAGAACAATTGTGTTTTTGTATTGTAACGTTCTTACCCACCCCTACTGGAAATTTGTTTAAAAAAAAAGCTTAATAGCTCATCGGATTCCTCCAGTATAAATACAGATTCTGAAATAAAAAGCCAAGCGGGTGCATGGTTCACGTGTTGGTGGATTTTCCATTTCGCGTGATTTTTTTGTAAAAATCTACGCCGCTGGATCCAGTGCCGACAGCTGTGTGAACCAGTGGGGTGTTGTGTGCTTACTCGTCTTGTCAAGATGTCATTCCGATTCACAATGTCCCCGTGTGTTTTTAGATATGTGGCTCTGATAATGTATTTTCTTGCGTTGCGTGACTCGATTTGATAAGTAGTATTGCCAGGTCGCCCGAGCTTACAGGGCATTAGTCAAAGTGTCTCAACAGACCTATATTTCATGCCCTCGTTAAATTAAGAAAATTATTATACTGAGTAGGGTATTTCTACCACTCATCTTAAGGTTTTAGATTCGTTGTTTTAATTTTATATATTTATGTTAAACAATTATGAACGCGTTGTTATAGATTGCCGATTTATTGTACAGTAGAACTAATTTTATCCATGACCCTATTATCTGCAACTCCTATTAATGGCAGGAGCTTTTGGGTCCACCAGAACCCGTATTATCCTCTCCCTTATTTTTAAATCCTTTATATTAAGTTCGCTTGCTTGCTTGCGTGCTTGCGTGCTTGCTTGCTTGCTTACGACCGTGCAAATCTTTCGGTCGTTTTTTAACCCACTTCCCGTGATCCAATCGAGCTGACATTTTGCACACAGACTCGTTGTGCGAGACAATTAATGTTCGTGAAAATTTTTTCCAAAATTTTACACTGTTTAGGGAAAACAAATTAAATATTTAATTACCAATTGCTTAATACTGGCAGACAATCATCTGACCCATAGGTGGCAGCCATCTCAAGCCAGAGGACGAGAGGACTCTTGCCGCCACGCATATACAGTAAAGGATTTAGAGTGAAAAACTTTGTTTTTACGGGTTATACTTATTCCTGTTATCTGCCAGAGTTTCTTCCTGCGGATAAGTCGAGTAAATTCGTGGATAACCCCGCTGATGATAGTGTCTGTGATATTGGTCCCACACATGATCGCGGCGGAGAAGAGGATGTATCCTGTTACTCGATTGCGAGTTTAAATCTCTGGTCGGCAGTTGACTTAAGCTACCCCTTTCTCCACAGTTGGGCATAATCCCCAGTGGTTGGGCCCTTTGTAGGCTCTGGCTCCAGCCATGGAAATATACAATTTGAAGCAACGGTTCAAGGCCCTACATACCCGTCAACCCATCTGTATTCTTGTACAACCGTTTGAATACGGGCCAAAAAAGTATATTTGTTAGTGTTTTTCCCTTGTGTTGGGACTTTGTAGGATGAACGTTAAGATTTATAAGAGCACGGGGTGACCAATAAGGTCTGAATTAGTCTGTTATAAGGTAGGCACTGATAAGGGGTTGACAGGTATGGCCCTAGTCCTCGTGTGAGTACAGAGAAACTTTTTACTTGACTTTGAATTGACCTGTGATTAAACTTAATTTTCAAGTGAAATGAATTGATGCTTTTAGCCCTGTCACCAATGACTGCAAAAAAAGATTCCGTCATTATATATATACTTTTCACTTAATCCAGCATATTGCAGATCATAGTGAAGGGTGTCTCTCAATCATATAAGAACATGATCGTGCAATCAGAATACAATTTTGATGAAAATCCTAAATAAAAAAAGCGCGTGGTAGATAAAAGTAATGTTAAGTACTCGAAGCATTCGTACTTCCGATTAGCAGGGTTGGCTACGTATAGTGCGACAGAAGTTCAACATGCATACATATATGTGGAAAGTCTTAAAATTAGTGGTGTAAATTCCACATTATTATACCAGGGACTAACAGACTTAATAAGACCATCACTGTTGGCTTCTCATCAAGTGGTGCAGCCTCACTTGGTGGTGCTAAATGTATTTTCACTGAAGTGATGATGATGATGATGCTGATGCTAACCACGGCCCCATCTCTGCGTGATCCACCGACCAATCCTCTTAGCTGCAGGATTAGGAGCATGTGCCACCGCCTCGACTGCCGGGTTTTATTTTAGAACGTTCAAGGTTAGACAGCCTTCAGCAATTCAATTTTGGACTTGATAGTAATTGTGCAGATTTTTTTTTATATTAAATAATTGTTTTATTTCTACAAAGTTAAAGGTGACACAATGTCACGACATGGTGTCAATGAGATGTGATCGACCACATTTTTAACTGGAGGCGCCATCTGTGTCATTATCACCTATAATTGTATTCTGCACAATACAAAATGCATGTTGAAAATGAAACGTGAATTGAGTTCCTCTTTTTTTTCTAACAAACTTATGCCAATACCATATGGATATGTAGAGTAGAGAGACAAAAATATAACCGAATTAACACTGAGCAAGTACACCTTGGCCAATGCCTCGCGTAACTGTCTAGATCATCACTCTTTTTCCCCAGTCGCTTTTGTGTCACTGACTCTGTGACACTGTTTAAAGTTACAGATATATATAGGCATACGGGTTTTACCATAGGCATCCTTTAAAATTTAAGGATCCATGCAATTATATTGCTTTACATCTCTCTACGGAAAAGATACAAATCACTTCAATTCTGTCCTCTACTTAAATTAAAAAAATTCACACATGTCCGGGCATGGTTATGGAACTCAGGGAAATAGATCGCTCCGTTTCATGTTTTTAAAATATGGTGCAATTCACGCATGAATGAAGAACTGTAAACTATTTTATGAGCTTATTGGACATTTACATTTGCTGCCATACACACCATATTGTTTTCTTGAGTTTTTAAGCATTCCATTCAAGTGTCCAATGTATTAATTCATTGTGTTGCCATGTGGAATTCTTGGCAAAGACTGAACGCTGAGTCCCAAGGGAATGGCTTTTAGTTCTGCAACAGCGCAGTGAGCGACACACTTCCTTAACTCTGTTAGTGCAGCTAATTTTCTAATTTAAAAAGTTAAAGGTCATACTTTTGATTTCGAATTCTTCCAAGTTGTGCCACGCAGTTTTTGTTGTCCCTGCGATGGAAACAGTACCGCGGTGGTGAGATGTTTACCACCTCGCCTGGTGTGCAGAAGGTCGTGGGTTCGAGTCCCACCCCGACGCATGTATATTTGGAGTTTGCGTGTCTCTCTCTCTCCCCGTGGTCGCGTGGATTATTCTCCGGGTCCTTCTGGTTTTTCCCTACACATTTATAAACATACGTTTGGAGTATTTGGCTATCATTTGTGACCAGTTTTCTTATGAAAAAATGGCTAGATAGCTCAGTGGGCCTTACCTGGTAAAATAAGAATTGTTTAGTTCAGTATTCGTTTAAAGAGAGCATGCTTTAATATACATTTCCCACTAAAGTATCACACCAAAGATTGGATTCACAACGTTGAACTCTTTTAAACAATCGCATATGTGGCTAGTACTTTAAACACTTCTATAGCTTTCTTAATATTTCTTTATAATGTCGTGGACAATATGCGAGGGATGCCACTTTTCAGGTACAAAAAACCGGGTCATATGGGAACAATAGCGTTGATAAATTTCCATTGCATATTGCGCGTAATGTGTACAGCACACTTACTCTTGTCGTCTTTCTAACTCCTCTTCTTTCTTGCGCAGCTCTTGCTTGCAAAGGGCCAGCATTTCCACACTGATGCCGAGCTGCCTCGACAGTTCCTGAGCCTGGCTTTGCCATCCTTCCCACTCTCTCCCTGGCAAGAGGCCGTGGTCATTGTCCGGCTCCACTCCAGCCTGCAGCCTCTCTTCATTGCTGAGCCCTGTCTGGAAATTCACCATTCGCCGTTCGCTGCGCTCCATTCCAGACTGATGCCGAGATGCACTGCTGGGCACTGCCGTCTGATAGTTGAGGCTGTGGCCATGGCTGGCTCTTGTTCTTGTCTGGAGCTTGCTCTTCCCTTGAGTAGGCCACCCGTGGAAACGGATGTCGGTACAACAGCCACCTGGCCTCAGCCCGTTCTGGTGGTTGACGTGGTCACCAGGAGGAGTCGCATCCTGGAAGCCCTTGTGGTTATCGCATCCTCTGGACTTCTCTTCGTGCAACGCGGTCTCCGCAAATCCACATGGCCTGCAGTACTTCCCCGTGCTGCCCTGATGATCAACTGCCTTTGAACGGCAATACAAACTGTGTCAGAATGCTGACGTAGCTGACGATGGGCATGTCATTATTGTGATGCGCGTTTTCACAGGCTTAAGGTGCTAAGAACTAGAAAGGTAATTTCTTAGTACTGAATTTACATCAAAACTCTTTTCTTCTAGATGTTCCTATCACTCTCGCCACAACATAATGAATTATGCAACAAATAACTGGCCAGATCCCACAAAAGAAAATCTAAATAAATTAATATAACACAATCACCTATATCGTGGAAGAGTAGGCCAAAATTCCACCTAAAGGGGCTTTCTATAGCTACGTCTAGTAGAGGTCCTTCCGCCAGCAGTGGTGAAAGAAGCAGTTGCAGAGCTGCGACTCGCATTGTCGTGATTAAGACGCAGCAATGTGCCACGGTATAGTTGACCACCATCAACATGTGAATTACTCCCGGCGTGCAATGTCTGCAATTTTACTTTGGTCAATTAATTAATTAGCAACTTATACTAGCCATACTATAAATGTCCACGGGTAGTTTTATTTAAGTTCTTTCACACCATACGTAGCCAACCATGCTAATCAGAGGTTAAAATTATATGTCTACATTAATTAAATAAATCACCTTCCATTCTATAATGCCACGTAAATAAAGCACAGTATTACACCAGTATTTCTGCACTGATTGTCTGGGAAACTTAAAGTATGTGTTTAGCATGCCTGTTTGGCATCCTGATGAACCCTAGAATGTCAAATCCAGTTCCGTTTTCATGTTTAAATAAATGATTCTGGTGTCAATATCTTGAAGGCCAGACATTTCATGTGTGATTGCAAGGGCAGCAAAAACGTATTTTACACTAACCATGCTGATAACCATACATTACACTGGTCAACACACTTTTTCTGGCATAAGGTATTCCAACGGTTTTAAGGTAATTTTGGGGTGCTGATTCCAAATCTGGCTTCAGTTTTTGTCTATCACATCAGGTTTTTCAGATATCAAATATTGCATTTTCAATCAAAACTGCAGAAGAAAAATATTAAATAAATGTGGATATCTACATAAAATTATATTATAAACACACTATCATAAAATACAGCACCATATTTTAACACTAAAGCAGTCACTGACTCGCAACAACTTGCAATCATAAGTGACAGAGTTAATTTCGGGTAAAATCAATGAAAATGGGGTATACCGATAGCATAAAAATGAGATGTGATAGAGCAAATCTGAGATCAGATTTGGAATCAGCACCCTGAAATTAGTCTAAAACAGCTGCAAAGGTCCAGGCCAGAAAAAAAGGGGTTTTTTTTGTTGACCAGTGATATTAACCCTTTATTCTGCTCCAGGGTGACAATGAAATGGAGATGGATTATATCCCGTTTGTGATAGCGATCTGTACCAATAATGGACAAGACATTAACACAGTTGTTAGCATATTATGCCATATTTGTTATGGGTGCCAATGAAGATATGAGTAGGAATGACGTCAGCGTCTAAGCCTCTAAGGCAGGGGTGGGGAACCCTTTTTTTGCCAAGGGCCATTTGGATATTTATAACATAATTCGCGGGCCATACAAATATTAATTTATGCCTTGGCAGGGCCAGACCAAATGATTTCGCGGACCTTATACGGCCCGCGGGCCGGACGTTCCCCACCCCTGCAGACTGAAGGGGTAGGGAATGATGATGTTGTGGAGACCCTTATGTAGAACGTTACAGATACATTCACTTTCCGCACCTGATGCATGCAGGCCATCTTTCTGTCGAGATCCTCGGCGTGTTCATGCCACATTGTTACTTCCAACTTGAGCTTCCTTATCAGAGCTTGAGCCGAATCGAGCTCCTGACTCTTCTGTTGAAGTTGCTGCCTAAGTCTGCTGATCAGGCCTGCTGCCTATGTAGAATACATAAACCAGCACGCACATCATATCGTGGATATGATTATTCAAATTCACCAATAGACTTTGCTCATAAGCAATGCAGTATTATTTTTTAGGCAGAGAGAAAAGAATGACAAACGGGGAGGTGGTTGTAATTTTTAAATCCTTTATATTAAGTTCACTTGCTTGCTTGCGCGCTTACGACCGTGCAATTTTTTCGGTCAGTTTTTTAACCCACTTCCCGTGATCCAATCGAGCTGACATTTTGCCACACAGACTCGTTGTGCGTGACAATTCATTTTCGTGAAAAAATGTTTCCAAAATGTTACACTTTTTAGGAAAAAATAAATTATATTTAATTACCAATTGCTTAATGGTGGCAGGCAATCATCTGACCCATAGGTGGCAGCCATCTCAAGCCAGAGGACGAGAGGACTCTAGCCGCCACGCATATAAAGGATTTATAGTGAAAAACTTTGTTTTTACGGATACATTTTTTACTCACGAGTCTCTCGGTGTCTCGGGACAGTTTTTCCAAACGCGTCTCGACAAAGTATCGTTCAGCCCTGTGCACCTCGGTGATGGCCTCCGCTTCTGACTGGGACCACATTCTCAAGCACACGACACATTATTACACCGCAGGGAGAGGCAACAAGGAGAGTTTGTGAAATATTTTACCGATCCTCAACCCCCATTAGGGGCCGTCCATAAATGACGTCACGCACCTAGGGGGTGGGGGGGGGGGTCAGACATTTGTGACAAGAGGAGGGGGGGGGGTGTTTGAGAAATGTGACGTCACATCAAAATGCGCAACTTTAAATAAATATAGACAACACGTTCTACTTAATTAAATAAACTTTTAAGTAAATGTTTTCTCCTACAACATCAGAGTGCAGCACCACATTAAATACACACTACAATGACAATAGTTTCAAGCGATTTGAAGCATGTTTTTTATTTGGGGGGTGGGGGGCAGAGGTTTGTGACGTCATATTTGAGGGGGGGGGTCTGACTTTTTGTGACGCCGTGTGACGACGGGGGTTAGGGGTCAAAAATCGCGTGACGTCATTTATGGACGGCCCCTTAGGAATTATGCTTTCCTTTGTGATTGATACGATTTCATTTTCATTCCTTTGTCAAACCACTGATGAAGGCCTCGCAATGGGGGTTGTATGATTGTACTTCACCGCAATAGTCAATCTCGGTTGGTTATCAGAGACGGCCCACGACTGGTGCAGATATCGCTCGTCGCTGAGCTGTAGGCCAGGGATCGTGCTTGGGTCTCTGGGTTCATGTGCCACAGTGCGGAATGAGTCCAACGTCACCAGCGCCATCATATTCATCAACATCCATTGTCCATTCGATGCTCGGAGGCACTGCCTGGCCAGTGACACTGCCCAGCAACAGCACAGAGCTACGGAATAATCGTAAATCCATTGTTATTGTCATTCCACGGTGAGAGGCAATTGCCACATAATTATTGCCACAATTGTGTGGCAATGGCTTCTCAATTATAATTAATATTTTTCACGAAATAGCTGTGGATACAGGAATCACTGTCGGAATATGTTTTGTCACAGGTAAACTGATAATAGCAATTATTTTCTTTCTCCACTTCTGGGTGACTCCCCTAATCATAAAGCTACCAAACGTCCTGGTTTGGCCAGGACAGTACAGTACCAGGTTCAGCCAGGCTGTTCCGTAATAGAGGTTTTTGGGTTAGATCGCGCATTTACGTGTATTTACGCCATCTAACCCAACAATCTCTACTATGGATAATATTGGTCGCGAAAGTCTACGTGTTAAACTCAGGTTTTTCCGGTGTCCTTAAGCGTTCGTGAGAGTGTGGATTGTGTCCCGGTTTTAAAATGTTGGCCTCACCCTTGGCTCATTATGTGGGGGGGGAGTTGGAAGGACACAGGACACCGACTGAGTGAGCGTGGTTGACCGAGCAATAGGCGGGGCCAATACTCTGGTTCTTTCGGTAAAGTCACGTAGGTATAAAAAAAATGCCGGGGTGGAGAGGGCAAGTGGGCTGGGCTGGGAGTGGGAGGGTTAGGAAACTGGAGATGCGGATATGAAGGCAGGCCAAAAGCAGTTATGGTTTTACCAGGTTAATAACATCCTTCCAATGATTGCTCAATCTGTATCTATCTTCCCGGCAGAGGTATTAGTTCTGCCTTGTTTCAGATCTGCCTTGTGCTCGCGAATATGGTCCGAGACATGATGTTTCGTTTCCCCAATGTAACAATCACCACAGGTGCAACTTAGTTTGTAGACTCCAGGATATTGTATGTCAGGAATGACATCCTTCACAGATGGGATTAGATCACGGATTTTGTGTACTGTACTAAATCGGACCTGGATCTTGTGTATGTTTAAGATTTTGGAAATCTTTTTGGCAACACCTGCTATGTATGGCAACGTGATGGTTTTGATCGGCGTCTCAGGGGGTTGTTTCTCCATGGTTGGAGAAACAGCTTTGCGGATAATGGACGCGATTTGAAATCGCTATATCTCTGCAACAACGAATCGCCCATGAATGAAACTCTTACCACTTGAAAGGGTGGGGCATAGAGTTCAAATGTTTACCACGAGATGCCTCTCCCAGCGCACAAACAGCCCCTAGCCTCAGGCATTCGCAAGACACACTGCCTCAACGTTGGATAGGTCGCACACTCTTGGCCCCCAAGATCCCCAGACATCACACCCTGCGACTTTTTATTGTGGGGATACGTAAAAGACCGTGTTTTTCTGCCACCATTAGCGACTAATCTGGATGACCTCAAAAACAGAATCACGACAGCGGTGACTTCAGTGGAAGAAGACACTTTGAGAGGCGTTTGGGACGAATTAAACTATCGTCTCGATGTTGTCCGTACAGCAGGTGGAGGGCACATAGAGCATTTCAAAAATGGTTAGTAAAACTTGATAACTCATTTAAACGTTTGTAACTTTTTGTGTAATTGTAACATGTTTCCGTCGTGAAATATACTGCTTTAAAATTGGGTCCATCTATCTGAAACACCCTTAACTTTTAAGTTGATTACTTAAACAAGACGAATTACAGTACAGTACTGAATATGATGTGTAATATCAACGCCGCATACCACACTGTGCATGGAGATGCAGTCGAAATTTAATTGCTCAATACATGTGCAGTAAATCCTTATCCTAACTACTTATCCTAACTACTGCATATCGGGTGCACACGTTTTTTGTTTGTTATACGGTATCATACCGTATTAGTCGTAGCCAACACTCACCGACTGACCAGTTTGGTTAAAGCATATGGCAAAAGTGGTTTGACAATTGCCTCCCTGTTTACGGGACTATACTACACGAGTCTTAATATCTCTTATTTGAACAATTAACACTCTATGCTCGTACCCTACAAAACTGTGCCGCGTTTCGAGTCAAGTACAGCACTGCAACGCATAACTGGAAAATCATTCATCAATAATGAGTGAAAATAACGGTGTACCTGTTGGGGATGTGCAATGAACTGGAATTACAGTACTCACATATTAAGATGATGCCGACGGAGTCAAGGTTTAAAGGAAACGGTCCGTTTACACGCACCCCACCAGTATTGTCGTCTGTGTTGTGTCGAAAACACTCACTCGGGGCAGCGCAGTTTATTATTGTAGTCTGTAGATGGCTGTGAAGGTTGTGGTCATGCACGGTGAATGTTAATCCATAGCCGATTATCTGCCAAGCCAAGTGATTTACTTTTAAGGATGACTAGCCAGCAGTATTACTAATTGCATGCAGTAATTTTTTTACAATAAACTGTCATTTTGTTTACATAAATGGCAGCGTGCATTAGCACCCTTTTAAAATATTAACAATGGCTCATTTAGTTATTGATATTTGGAAAGAGTATTTTTAGCTGGCGCTAGATCTATCATATGCACGCCTCTTTAACAAAAGTGTTCTTTAAATGTAACGTTTTAAATGTAGTTGTTCCATTTGGAAGTAACATTATGGCAATATTAGTTTTCAACCCCAGGTAAAAGTCAAAATTTTGTTAGCCCTTCCATGCTCTAAATGTAAACAATAAAAATCGTGCACATTAATTCTGTAACTCATTTCAACATGCGTTTATCCTCGGAAGTACCGTGTCTATGAACGTACACTACCTACCGATGCATATGAATCAAAAACATGGACATCTGAGAAGAAAATAGAATGAAAACTTGTTACACTATAAAAAGTGTAAGAAGTCTTCCGACTTTTGATTCACTATACTGAGGTCCCAGAACATTAATTGAAGACCGAATCCCTTATAGGTGACACTTTAATACCCAGCTATCGTCATGTTATCCAATTGGTCGATGAATCAAGCAGATAACACCATGTAACATAATTTTTGTTCTTGGATAGTAAGTGTTATTTCGTAATTATTTATACCTAAAAAGTATAGAAAATGGCTATTATTCCCCACAAATTTTGCTTTTGTGACGAGGACAGTGATATTTTGAAATGTACATATTTTCAATGAGAAAACGGGCGAATTTGTGTATTTTCGTTCACATAAAGTCAGAAAAAAAGCAACATGAATCAGAATTAACATGTATTTATACGAAAGTAATACAAAAATGTCTACAAAAGATTTAGAAGTGAGTAGTTTTTCGAGATTTACGATTATACTGTAAATCACTTTCACGAATCAGCCCCCAAATGTAGTAGTCTCCCATCATTGTCTCGTTATACTGTCCTTGGTAGCAGCATTCAAAGTCCAGTATATCCTAGTGAAAGGGCCCGCCTTGCTCCTCCCAGTATGCTCCCATGTTCTCCTTGAATTTATCAAGATGAGCATCAAGGATATGGAATTTGAGGGACATCCTACAGCCCATTGTGCCGTAGTTCTTCACCAGTCTCAATCAGCTCCACATAGTTTTCGACCTTGTGATTGCCCAGGAAGCCACGAACCACTGCGACAAAGCTGTCCCAAGCCGCTTTCTCCTTATTAGTGAGCTTCTTGGGGAATTCATTACACTCCAGGATCTTCTTTATCTGTGGTCCGACGAAGACACCGGCTTTGACCTTTGCCTCAGACAGCTTAGGGAATAAGTCTTGAAGGTACTTGAAGACCCGGTATATAGTTATCCCCAAAGGCTGTGAAGGCCGGAATAAAAGAGATAGAGTACCTCCTACTACTGTCTGTGAATTAGTACACTACACTATTATGGAGCAGCATGGCTTTGAGGCTCCTGGATGAGCTGTCAATGAAGAGGTGCCACTCATTCTGGTTAGAGGCGATTCCGATTGCCTCGAACAGACTGGTTACATTGTGGCAGAAGCAGAGCCCATCTTGACGGGTGAAGAAGCTGCAAAAAGGTTGGTGACGCTTAATGTGATCTGCGACTTGCACACTTTCATCCAACAAGTTCCACTGCTTGAGCCTCGACATCAAAAGCTTGGCATTGGACTTGGTGAGGCCAAGATCTTTTGGTTGGGGTAGTATGGGGTAGTATGGGTTTTTCTCCTCAGCTCCACCTCTGAAATTGTCATCTGGATCTACAACACTTTCCTCGCTCTCTGACTTGCTGCTCTCTTCTAAAGAAGGCTGCTCTCTCTCCAGAGGAATGGGTACGGGGAGCTCATGGCAGTGTGGCACAGGGGCGATGGATGAAGGAAATTCCGGATATGTGATAGCAGGTGCATTCTTGCT